GGTCTCGAAGTACACCTCCTCCTCAGAGTCCATCTCCCCTTCCCCTTCCGAGTCCGGGAATCCTTCCAACTCCTCCCCTCATCAGTGGTCCCAAAGTATTCCCTCCGGAACCTCTCCACAGGCTGAGGTTTCCTTGGGAACCTTTGATGGAACGTTTCTATCAATACCTCGTCATTGATATCTTCGGCCATTACCCAAGTGTTTTCTGACTCGGTTCTCCTTCCCACGCTACCAAATACTCCACCTGATCCCCCTTCCACCTGGCGTCGAGGATTTCTGCCACATGGCTGCTGCATTCTCTTTCTTCTATGACCGGTCCCGAGTGGCCAGCCCTTCTCGTCCCCCTTCGTACGGTGACAGTAACGACCTGTGAAATACTGGGTGCAGTTTCATGTGGTTGGGTAACCGGAGCCTGAAAGCCACTGGGTTGACCTGTTGAATGACCTCAAAGGGACCCAACCTCCTGGGTCTTAATTTCTTACAACCTCCTTTGAGCAGCAGCCCTTGGGTTGACAGCCACACCCTATCTCCCACCCTTATGGTTTCACCTTCCCTTCGGTTCTTGTCTGCCTGCCTCTTGTATTCTTCCTTCGCCCTTTCTAAGTTGAGTTGGAGCTGACGATGGATTGCTTCCATTTCTTCCACAAAATGCTCGGCTGCCGGGACGCTCCATCTCTCCCCATCTCCCCTGGGAAAGCCCTGGGATGACACCCATAATTAGCCAGAAGGGCTCATCCCTGTGGACACATTCTCGGCATTGTTGTAGGCAAATTCCGCCAGCGCCAACTTTTCTACCCAGTCATTCTCTCTGTCATTGACATAACACCTCAGGTATTGCTGGAGGACACCGTTTGCTCTTTCCGCCTGCCCGTTGGTTTCAGGGTGCCGGGCAGTCGAAAAATTGACCTCCACCTGCAGTAAGCTCATGAGCTTCCTCCAGAACCTGGAAGTAAATTGTTTTCCTCGGTCTGAGACCACCCTCAATGGCACCCCGTGCAACCTAAAAATGTGTTCTACAAATAACGTCGCTGTCTCTTCCGCCGTGACTGCATGCGAGCAAGCTACAAAGTGGCACATCTTTGTTAGTAGGTCTACCACCACCATGATGGCTGTTTTCCCTTTGGACTTCGGCAGATCAGTCATAAAATCTATCGACACTGCCTCCCAAGGTCGTTCTGGGGTTGGTAAGGGTTCTAATAGCCCCGCCGGCGCCCGCCTTTCCCCTTTGGCTCGCTGGCATTGCTCGCACCCTCTTACATACTCACGTACATCTTCCCTCACCTTAGGCCACCAAAATTCCCTGGTGACCAACCACATGGTTTTGTGTTGTCCAAAATGCCCCGCCGTAGGGCTGTCGTGCAACTGCTTGAGTACCCTCCCCTTAACTCTCCTTCAGGGATATACAGTGCCCCTTTGTAATACAAAGCTCCATTTCTTTCCTCGAAACCCCTGGTTCCTCTCCCTCACCCCTAAGACCTCTGAGCTTATTCTGGGCGTATTCATCATTCTCTGTTTCCTCTACCAGTTCTCTTTGTCCCACCAATGCCGCCCACACACCCAGCGGTCCTCTGGAATGACATGTCTCTCTTGGGTGCTCCCTCCCCTCCAAATATTCAGGTTTGCGTGAGAGAGCGTCCGCCCTAATGTTCTCTGGGCCTGGCACGTAACAAATCTCAAAGTTAAATTTGGAGAACTCCTGGGCCCATCTCACTTGCCGTTGGTTGAGCACTCGTGCCGTCCTCCAATACTCTAGGTTCTTGTGGTCAGTGCACACTTGCACCTTATGTTGTGCGCCAATTAGCAGGTGCCTCCATCTCCGGAACGCCTCATGAATGGCTAGTAGTTCTCGGTCATACACCGTGTAGTTCCTCTCGGATTTGTTCAGCTTTCGCGAAAAAAGGCACACGGTCTCCACTCTGACCCCTTCTTCCCTGGCTGCAGAAGCACCGCCCCAATCGCTCTGTCTGATGCGTCAGTTTCCACTCTCATCGGTTTTTGTAAATCCACATGCAGGAGTTGTTGTTCCGAGGCGAAGGCCCTTTTAGTTCCTCAAATGCTCGCTCCGCCTCCTCAGTCCACACGAACTTCTTCTTACTGCTGAGACAGTCCGTAATGGGCGCCGTCAGGTGGGCAAAGTTTCGGATGAACTTACGATAGAAGTTCCCAAATCCTAGGAACCTCTGCACATCCTTCTTTGTTTTGGGTGTTTTCCATTCCAGCACCGCCTGGACCTTGCCGGGATCCATGGCCAATCCCTTGTCTGACAGGCGATACCCCAGAATTCCACCTCCTTGGTATGAAACTGACACTTCTCCAGTTTCACCCACAGCTGGTTGGCTTGCAGCCTGCTCAACACTTCTCTGACGTCTCTCACATGCTGCTCCTCATTCTCAGAATACACCAACACGTCGTCTAAAAAGGCCACACAAGTCTTGTAAAGCCAAGGCCCCAGGACGTGGTTCATAAACGATTGAAATGTTGCGGAGCCTGCTTGTAGGCCGAAGGGCATAACCAAATATTCAAATGCCCCTAAAGGGGTGAACATAGTGGTTTTCCATTCATCCCCCTTCCTTATTCGTACCAGGTTGTACGCCCCCCTTAGGTCCAGCTTTGTGAAAATCTTTCCCTTCCGCACCCTTGTCAAAATGTCGTCAATCCTGGGCATAGGGAAGGCTACTGGTTCTGACACTGCATTTAAGGCCCTGAAGTCACACACCAGCCTCGGCTTGCTCGTGTTTTTCTTATCCACAAAAACACTGGGCTGCCCCCACCGCCCTGGACTCTCTGATGAACCCTCTCTTCAGGTTCTTGTCAATGAACTCTCTTAACTCCTGCATCTCTCTGTCTGACATGGCGTACAGCTTGCCTACAGGGAGCTGTGCTCCAGGAGTAAATTGATTTGACAGTCAAAGGGTCTATGCGGGGGTAGTTGGTCAGCTTCCCTTTCGCTGAAGACGTCACGGAGATCTGCATATTGTCGTGGTACCTTCACGTTCTCTGTTACTTCAGTCCCTGCTAGGGTGGCTTGGACCCCTGCCAAACCCTTTCCCTCTTTGCAGTGTTCTAAGCAATGTGCTGAACCAAAAGAAACCACTCTCTGATGCCAGCCCACCAGCGGATCATGTAACGCTAGCCAGCTCATCCCCAATATAATGGGAGCTCCTCCCAAGGTGGCCACATTAAAAGCTATCAGTTCGGTGTGCCTTGCTACCTTCATTATCATTGGGACGGTCTGCAAGCTGACTTCTCCTCCCAACAGCTCCCTGCCATCGATCGTGGTCACCTGCAGGGGGCTGCTTAAAGGATCGTCTGTATCTGGTGTTCAGCTGCAAACTCTTTGCTCATGAAATTGCAGGAGCTGCCTGAGTCCAACAGCGCCTTTATCTTTAGAGGGTGTCCGTTTGGCAGCTCTAGCGTCACTTCTATCACTAGGGCGGGTTTAGGAGGTTCTGGCGTGGGCACTCTCACTGCTCTTTGGCCTGGCTGCTGTGCCCGGACAGTGGCAGCCAGGCGTTGGCTTTTACTTGCTCCGGTATATGTTCCTCTCTTCCAGCCACAGCTCCTACCATCCCTTGCCATTCTTTCCTCTGAGGGCAGACTCTGGCAAAGTGACCTGGCTGTTGGCAGAGATAGCATTTCCGGGCGCCTTTTCCCTCCTTCTTTCCCCCTCACTGGGCTTTGAAACTGCGCGCGCGCGCTGTTCCATTTCCATCGGCTCTGCCGGTGGGAAAGTTGGCTCTGGAATGTCTGGAATGCGGAACTCCTTCCAACGTTCCCCTTTCCCTTCCCGCCTCTCCAATGCTCTCGCCTCCTGGCGCGCTCCTATGGCCAGCGCTGATTTGGTCAGCTGGTCCATAGACTCCGCCCTGGGCGCCCGGGAAAGTTCGTCTTTCACAGCCGAAGAAAGCCCTTCTTCAAAGAGCATTTGAATGGGTTCCGCCGATAAGTCCCACCCCAATCTGTGAACAAGCATGGTGAACTCAGTCCAGTACTCACGGACAGATCGGCTCCCCTGTTTGCAAGCCATTAACTGTCTGCGCACCACTCCCTTTTCAATATCGCTGGAAAACATCAGATCCATGGCGCGAAAGAACTTCATCGTGTCCTTTAGGACGTCACTATTCGCTGCCATCAGGGTCTAACCCAGTCTCTCGCCCCCTTTTCAAGATGCTCAATCACGAAAGCCACTCGTGATTCCTCGTCAGGGAATTCATCAAACTGCAGATTGAGGGCATATTGCATTTCTGTCCGAAAGCCATGATAGTTTTGGGCTCCCCCAAACTTCTGCACCAATCCTGGTACCTTTCTGGCGAGCTGGGTGGCTTTCCCCTTTTGTCTGCATCCTGAGCCCTCCTCTCCCTCAAGCCTCGCCGTCTGCATCGCTAGCTGGACCTCCAACACCCGGTACCTTTCTTCCAGGCTTGGACCCGCTCCAGCTCCTGCTTCTCCGGTTCCGGCTGGGTTGCTCATGATGCCTTCTCCTGCACAAGCTGCTTTCAAAGACTGTCGGAATGCTGTGATGGAGTGATGAGCTGCTTGTGCGTAAAATCGTATCCCCTCAGAGTTTGTTCAAGTCCACAAACCTCTGTCTGTGGCGGAGCCCCTCAGACATGGCTCCTCTAGTCACTAGCAGATTCCGACAGTGGTTGCTTTCGTAATCGCTTCCAACATAAAAGCTCCTTAACGGAAACACGTCTTCTGGACTCTCTGCGTGACAGTTTCCGGCGAGGAGTGGGTGTTCTTACAGGAGGTCCTGAAACCTCCCCACTGTTTTCGCTGGAAGTGTCTCTGAGCCATCCCTCCAGCTCAGCTCCTCTCCCCCTGCTGGTTCCCTCTTCAGCTGCTGCGTCTCTCCCAACCTGTGTGAGCCCTTTCACCTCCCTGCTGGTTCCCTCTTCAGCTGCTGCGTCTCTCCCAACCTGTGTGAGCCCTTTCACCTCCCTTCCGTCCGATGGCAGTTCCCTGACATCATGTTTTTGTTGTAACAGTCTTAACTTTTTGCACAACAAATAAATTTATTATGGCATAAACTTTCATGGGCTATAGCTGACCAAAGTGTTATCCTATATGCCAGATGGTATCATTCCTCAAAGTTGCTATCCCTTTGACACCACTGTTTACAATCCCCTTCTTACTTGACCCTGTAAGATGGTTGTGTGTATACCTGCAATTCAGGATAACATTACATGCAGATGAAGTGGACTTGTCCATGAAAGGTAATGCTGTATAATACATTTGTTTAGTCTTTAAGGCGCCCCAAGTCTTTGTTGTTTTTGCTACATACACTTATTCCGGAAACTTACTCGGGAAGCTATTACGACGTTTAAGCATTATTATGTTTCAACTTCTGCACAGGTTCATCAGCGGACATATGATGATATTGAGAAACATGGAAAATATGATCTGCTGCGTTCAACAAGACACTTTGGAGGAATGGTGTGGTACTTTACAAATAGAAAGAGGATTGATGGATTGCTGATAGACATGCTCCAAAGAGATTTGTAAGTGCTGTTTATTGAGCTAGAGTTATCTAGGTTCTCCATGGCAATATAGAATTTAAAAGTTCATATTTAAGCAGCCTCTCTGCTGAATTTAGTTGCACTTGTAAGCATATGTGTTCAGGATCAAAGCACTGGTTGACTTTTATTCAGGAACTGTAGGCTGGGTTCTTAACGATCATTAACATGCTTTGAAAAAGTTTGCCATGAGACACTAGTTAATAGTGTTTTCTGTCAATCGTTGACTATGCCTAGCTAGCAATTCCTGCAGCTATTGCTTATTTTCATTTCCACCTGTATGTGTAGGATAATTCAGTTCCATTTATTAAACTTGTATACCACCCTTTATATACCACTCCATACATCTCAGAGTGGTTCACAACATAAACATACAAGATAAAAAAGAGAAAATACATAATAAAAACAAAAATAATCCCCCCCATTTTATTATTATTTACTCATCCGAAACTATTTTGGTGTCATTCAGGAATCAGTTCAGTTTGAGTAAGGCTGCAGAACGTGATTGGAGTGTCAGGGTAAGGTATCAGATTGGATTTTCCTGTGCAGCTGCAGTCCTTTGGAATAATCCCTTTAAACTTGGTGGGAAGTAAGACTTCTCCAATACATGTTCATCAGTGATGCTGGATAGTTTTACAAAGGCATTAAACTGTAGTGTTGGGAGGTAAGGCAATATTGAAAGGGGGTGATTTATATTGTAAAGGTACGCATGTGACTACAGAACGCCCAGAGCAGGTGGTGTGTTAGAGAGGTCTTTCTATGGGTATAATCCCTACTACTGGAATGGCTCCTATATGGGTCTGAACCCAAATGGAGACACTACCTGCACAGGTGGCAAGGGTGAAGCTGAGATCGGAAATGAATTCAGCTGGGTGAAAACCCATCTCTTTGAAGATATTTGCTCATAGTGGTGGCTTACATCTGTTAGTAATTCCTCAAAACTTAGTTCTTTTAGCTAGTGAATTTAAGAAAACAACAAGCTAGTTCCAGTTTAATGTGTTTGTGTGGAGTACTAACTGTGACGGTTCCTAGAAAAGCAATTAAGTCTTGAATAACTTCTGTATTTCAGAATCGAGGACGCAGTAAGCTTAGTTACTTTGTATCACATGCTCCATCCTGACTGCCAGTCAGCAAAAGAAGCACAAGAATATGACATCCAAGGACTAGATTTAATTAAGGTATACAAATCTTTTATATGGACCTCTTTTCATGTGATAGGTACCTATCACAGCAATTTTCCTTTTTGGGAGTTTTGGGACAAGAAATATTGTACACATTTGTGGAAGCAATTCATCCATGGAACAGTTTGTTAAAAGGCCAACATTTCATGGAGCTGAAGTTATCTTTATTCAGTGTTAAATAATCCCTATATGGACTAGAGACTGCGCAGCTTTTAACTTCATAACCTGTATCCTCCATTTCACAAAATGTAATTTAGAACATTAGGCTAGTTTCGTCATTTTGAGGTTAAATGCTAGAGCCCAACCCTAGTAACACAGTCAAAAGCTTGCTGGCTACCTAATTATTATCATTTACATTTTTGTACAGGTTTTTGTGAAGACAGAAACACAGAGAGCTGGATACATTGAACTTGCACTCCAGTCGTATCAAGCGACTACGCCTAGGTCTGCAGCTTCATAAAGAACTTATCAATCCACTTAATATGATGTTTGTGAGTGGAAGGGTGGTGTAAAATGTATATAGAATTCTGAATAAAATACTTTTTACTGTATAGCGTATGGGAAGTAGCTATAGTTAGCTTTTAAAGCACAGTTGGCCTGTTTTGATTAACAGAAATACAGAGAACTTGTCATATCGAATAGTTTTGTGGGTACAATACTTAGTAATCAAAACATTAAAAGGGAAACTACATTTTAAAAGACATTTATTACAAGGCATGGTCTTCATGTGACAAGAGCTTGGAATAGTATCTAAGGAGTTCTACGCAACAGAAATAGATACTGCAATGCGTTTCACAGGTCTAACCCTACTTACTTGATCCAGCTTGCATATAAAAACCAAGCTTCTTTCCACCATGAAGACTGCAGTAAATGAAGTTTAGGGAAAGAAATTTGTAAGAAATTTGGTCATTTAAAAAAAAAAATCAGTCAGACATCTCTTCATCCAAATTAATATCGGTAGTATCAATATCCTCCAGGTCTAAGTTATCCAAGTCTTCATCCAGCTCCAATAATGCCTGTGGCAGGAAGTACATAGAAGAAAATGGCTTACTAAATACCATGCATCTATCATCGCTAAAGAACTACTTACTGGGAACTACTTATTTCATTTCTGCAAGTTGAAATGCTGCAACTACTGCTTTTTTGTGATATTGGACTATCCTGCTACCACCATCCTAAACAACTATGGGCCTGCTAGATATATTTGCTTATTATAAAACACAGCCCCCAAATTGGGGTATAATAGGCAACTCTGATTTAAACCAATGTACGATCTGTATGTTGAAGGAAGAGGATGAGTAACTTGTTTCTGACTTCATAAAGAATTGTGAAACCTAGAACACATCTCCAAACACTCTGAGCAATGGTGATTAAGGAAGTTTTAGAGGCTGTATAATGGGGCAGTATTTACATTAATATCTAAAATATTACACATTCCACAAGCAGAAGTAAATTTACCTAGGCAGTAGAGATGAGGATGGGGCAGGGTTTGGTACAGTACAGCAAGTCAGCAGCAAGATTAAAACAACATTATTTGCAAGATTGGTTTTATCAAAGATATCCTGTGTTCTGTTAGGATAGTCACTATCTCTGTAACACAAATATCAGTGACTGGCTTTGATACAAAGCATTGACAATGAGCTGCATCTGTATAAGGACTTCCTTGAGAAGTAGGTTTGCATGCTGATATAACTACTTTAAGGTTGTATCTACTGCTGTCACACATATGGGAATGGACTTCTGCTCACACAATGGGACTTCACTGCCTCCTACACGCTTTCAATCTGCTTTGGGATTCTGGAGCAGAAATGGGGGAGAAGGAGAGGAAGGCAAGTCCTGTGGCACAACTGGAAACCTACTTGTGCAACACAGGATTCTGTCCTAAAGAACCAAAACCTAACAAGCTGAATGGAAGAATTCAAGTTTTTATGCAGCTAGGTTCAAGCCTGAAACCTATGGCTTTAGCTGACAAGATAAGGGGCAATATCCAACACTAGTCATACTCTGGGCATGACTTAAGTCCACTGACTTCAATGGATCTACTGTGAATATGACTAATCTTGGATATCACAAATACCTATCTTGCTGGAAAGAGTTAGAGAACGTTCAGTTTTGCAGTCCAATTTGATCATGGTGTATAAACACATTAGGGATATGTGGGAGAAAGTTGAAGGAAGCATTCTTTTTAGCACACACTCTGCAAACAAGCTTCATGTGCCCAAGTTAAGAACACCCATCCTAAACAAAATCTGATTGCAGCCAAGAGCATGCAGTAAGAATGTACTGTGATGTACTGATCATAAATGTAAACAACTACTAAGCACAAGTTTCTATATTAAATTAAGAGGAAATCAATCCAATGGCAAACTTCCCTAAAGAGGTCAGATTAACATTTAGCCACACTGGCGAAAGTGTTATTCTCTCAAGAGCTCTCAAGTACAAATCTGATCTCAAAGGCTATACTTCACAAGAAAAAGGTAACATAGGAAAGTGAGCAAAGTGGGGGAAATTGCAGAATGGAGTTAGCTTGTCACTGAATTGTTTTATGCAGAATGGAAATGTAATGGTAGAATTCTAGATTGTCTCACTCCCCAAATGATCTGCCTTTAATGTTCGTACATTGCAAAAGTAACTAAACCAAGCTTCGCCTCATGTGCCAGTTTATTACACGGAGGGAGATTTGCTATCGCCAATCTTGAATCTAAAGCTCTGCTGACTTACTCTTATTCTGTATAGCTTGTAGAAAAACCTCTAATTTTGAAACTTCCAATGACAGTTTGGAACAAGAGAAATAAGAATTGCTACTGGGATTAGAACCTTCCCAGTTTTAGGATTTTTCATGGTGCACTTGAGCTTTTACCTTTTCATCTTTTATTGTTTCAATTGGGTCCTTCCCTGCAACCGGAGGCACTATCACAGGCTTAGGAACTAGTTCTTCCTCTTCTGAATCCTTATGACGAAAAAGGAAATATTTAAATATTTGATAAGGCTCATATAAGGAAAAACTGGATCCCATTCTTAGGTTGCGTAACCCAAAGAAATAGATTCAGCAAGAAAGCGTGTAGTATTAGCCCTACACAAAAGCAAATTCAAGAGAAGGCAGCATATGGAAAGACTATGTACCATTTTATTCCATTAGGACATTGTTCCTACAATCTTACCTATTGCCCTTAGAACTCCTGATCTAATTGACACTCGCCCTGTTCAGATGACATACCAAATAATGGCCTGCTTGTGACAAAAATAAACTCTAGTGAGCTTACCCATTTTTCTAACACACACTCAATAGGGAAGGAAGCTTAAAATGTCTGGTTATATTTAAATAGGTACAGCTTTGCCCTAACCACAGTTAACATACCAGGATCTCAAAGCTAGTTTCAGATCCTGGTTTATTTGAATTAACTTTGGTTGGAACTAACCACAGCTGCACATAATTTGATGTAATGGAAAACTGCAAAATGTTCAAAACTGATCTAAAGCTTTAAACTTCTATCAGGTTGTTGGAGCAGAACATTCAAGCCTGAGCATTCTCATTACAAGAAACTAGTTTATTGTGACGTGAACCAGGTCTCTCATTCCTGGAATGTGCAACATTTGCTCGCCATTCCTTTCTTACTACCCTTCCTTCTCCCTTGCTCTCAAAATTTAGTCTAGAAGGACAATCTTCTTAGATGTTGTGAAGTATATGTGGATGGCCTCATAAAGCGATAAATAATAAAAAGAAAACTAAGAATTTTGGAGCTGTTGCTCAGGGCTATTTCAAAGTGCTGAAAGCAACTGTGATGGGAAGAAATGCAGCAATGTTCAGGAAGACAACCGATTTATTCAGACACAGAAATCAGGAAAACTGACAGCAACAGAATTATCTGCATGCATCTAAGTGCCAATGCTATCCATAACGGTTTCTATATTAAGGTAACATGGCATGAAAAGAACACAATTACAGAGCAATTGCTTATCACCAAAGTAAATGTAAACTATAAAGAGGACGGACAATCTAAATGGCTCAGTTTTGTTTTTTTAAACAGTCCATAAAAAGCCACAGGATTTTGAACATTTAGTGGAGATAACTCTTACTCCAGAATTTCATTAACACTGACCTGCAATGCTTCCCCTATTTTTGGTGTGAAACTTTTAGCTTCTTCCAGTATGTTTCTCTCTTCATTTGGCTACCAAAGACAGAGAATATATCATGTGAGTAGAGACTTTTGCTGACACTAAATAATTCTCAAGGTCGTGCCAGATTCTATATGAAATTGTTCATAACTTGTATTTACTTACAGTGACTAGGGGATATTTATTGGCTGGCCGCAAATCAGTTTGTGTTGCCTTGATGTATTCTTCAGCAACAAAAGCTTCCTTTAATCCAGGGAACAAGTTTTCATATTCTGTGGGATCAGCAAGTGATTCTGCAGCTTTCTGGTTGACTTTAGAGAGATTTTCTCTCCACAGTTTTACAACCCTATTGATGGAACAGATGGTCATTGCAAGCACCTCCATTATAAGCAAAATATTTTTACAAAACACACACTAACACTTCAAAGTTACCTTGAAACTTGGCTCGGCAAATATGTTCGTGCTAGGAAAGCAGCTTCTGGTAAGCGTCCGGTTTTAATCAACAGCTCAAGACAACTGTCAAGCCTACAATGGTACATTTAAAGAAAGTCACATTTTCATTTGTTTGGGTTTGGTTAAATAAAACAAAGCAAAAATAAAAGTAAAATCTAGTTTTTAAAATGTACCCATTACTGGAGTATAACACAAATGTGACAATAGTAATAATCAGAGGATTATACTAATATCAAGCCATTGTGTTCAACGTTACTGGCAATGTGGTTTTAAAGGCTAATGAATGTCTAATGCCCTGATCCTATGAAGCAACTACATAGGATCAGGCATAAAGCTGCTAAGGTTTCTTAGAGGAAACAGGTTGTTCTCTTATACCATCTTGGCTGTGAGTGCTGGAAGACCTTGCAGGCCTTTTTCCACCTGGACTGGGAGGGCAAGACCCTGACTGACTCCAAGTACAAAAGCTGAGGCTTTTGAATAGATTCTTGGACTGGGGTACTGTTTAGGGGCTTGGGGTGTTGCTGTTATTTATATTAATTTTATCTTTGTTTTAGATTACAATTTATGTTGGGAAACAGTTTGATTTGCTTGTGTACCTTTTGATGTTTTATTTATTTTTTTATGATTACTTTTGTTACATTTGTAATTATGTGTTTTTTCATGTTGTAAGCTGCCTTGAGCATAGTTTTAACTATGGAAAAGTGGCATACAAATAAAATGATGTATGTAGGTCTTATACTGGCACTGGCAATCAGCTTTTGATGCTATTGTGCCAGACATACTCCCCGGGCCTCTTCATGGTATATAGTTTTGCTATAAACATCGCAGGAAACATAATTAACACCACTGTTACATCCTGTAGACCATTCTTAGATTTCCCTCAAATCTAAGAAAGCCAAAACTAATAGATTGAGAGTACAGTGGTGCCCCGCAAGACGAATGCCTCGCAAGACGGAAAACTCGCTAGACGAAAGAGTTTTCCGTTTTGGAGGTGCCTCGCAAAACGAATCTGCAATGGGCTTGCTTCGCAAGACGAAAATGTCTTGCGAGTTCCTGGGTTTTTTTTTTCCTTTTCCCCCTCTTTTTCTAAGTCGCTAAGCCGCTTATCTGCTTATCTGATAAGCTGATAAGCTGCTAAAAGCCGCTAAAAGCCGCTAAAAGCGCTAATAGCGCTAATCCGCTAATCCCGTCAATGGGCTTGCTTCGCAAGACGAAAAAACCGCTAGACGAAGAGACTCCCAGAACGGATTCTTTTCGTCTTGCGAGGCACCACTGTATACAGGACTTTTGCATAGAGAGGTTCTATTGCACAGACAATGGATAAACTCTGGATTTTCTTTTTAAACAGCCTTCAATGTTGGATCCTCCACACATGCACTTCTTTACTTTCCATCTCCATCTTCCCTCATAAGTGAATCCATTCCCTTGCACCCACAGCCTTTCCCATGTCCATTTAAGTCATAATCCATTTTATTGTCTTTTCAATGCTGGCTCTCTCAAAATTAAAGGATCTCATTGACCACCTTTCCTTGTTGGTTTCCATCCTCCTCCCCCCCTCTGTTTCAGGTACTTATTAATAACTTTATAAGTAATAATAATAATTTTTAAACTGCCCACTACTACTGCCATTTGTTCCTCGTTTCTTCTAATCAGCTGCTAACTCAGACAGTTGCAAAAGCTTTTGGCTGCTCTGCAGAATGACCAGAGGTCAGATCTTTTGTCAGTCAACACAACTCAGCTGTCTGAGCCAGCAGCAGCAGAAAAAGATTACTACTGCTGAGTGATTCAGAAAGCACTGTAAATCTGGGAAAGAAGAACTAATGCCAACGCAATTTGGGGGCAGTTCTCTGCAGAAACAAGTCAAGTGCAACAGTAGGAAACCACATCAGCAAAATAAAATGATGATGATGATGATGATGATATCACCATCAAAAATTTGCCACGGGTGTGTGTGCATTCAGGGCCCACATAAACGTTTGGGGATTAGCCACCCCTAGTATAGATGAGAGATTATTTGTTACTTACTTTCCTTGCAGGAAGTAGCTCATAAAGGCGACATTGTTCTTCCCATCTTTTTCTGCCCCTTCGGCCAGCTTGTTCACCATGCTGGTATTTCCTGAAGCTGTGGCCAACAGCAGTAAGCCACCGTAGTCTTGCGCATGGTGCAGGCACTCTTGGGCAAGGCCAAACTGGCATTTACTGATAGCAAGCTCAGCCAGCTGCTTCCACTTCTGCTCAGACTGCGTAAACAGAGAGCAATTCCACATCAGCCATGTTTGACATTGTTCTGAAGCCTATTTAGACTAAATTTAGCCCAGTTGGGTTTTTTATCTCAGCTTTCTCATCTATAGTTCCCCACTTGCACTGAATGTTTCATTCAAAGCACATGGTCATGCCTTAAGAGAAGATACTTATTGCACTATTTGGACACCCAAGAACTACGGGTATGCCTCTTCTAAAAATTAACTCTTGGTTAGCCCACAGAAAACTTCTCACTGCCCAGATCACCCTCAGTATTTTCAAACTATGCTCTGTAAACCAAAAAGTATGAACCTGGGTAGATCTTGAGACTATCCTAGACATGTGGACTATCTTATACCACTGAAACATCATTCAAGCAATCTGGTCAGATACTCCAGATTAGCAGCAAAACAGAAAATATATTTTAAAAAAACACTTGAATTAAGCTGCTTGCTGCTGTCAAAATCTGGGGAAAGCTATCTTGCTCTCACTTCAGCATTACAGACAGAAATCATATCAAATAATCTTGTTTAATGCTTTACAATAATATAAAAATCAGGAATTCTAGAACTTCAGTGGGCAATCAATATTTTACACAGATTCCATTAAATTCAGTTCAGCCTTGACACTAAACAACCAGGTTGACTTTGCACCTTTATTGCTGGCATCCATTTGTCTCGAGAGACAATGGAAGAATGCACCTTTGAGGGTAAAGTCAAACCCTGGAGAGTTACAGCACCTGCTGTGGCTGCAGAGACTAATACAGGAGAGACATGTTTTATTGCAGGTGGGGCAGGTGTAGGTATTCCGTTTTGCTGCTACAGCTGGACCTTTATAGCCAAAACATTTCTTTCATAAGAGACTATTCTTCTGCATCTTAACATGGACGTTGGTAATTCCTTTTGTGTTTCTAAAATGGTGTCAGCATACCTCTGCTTCCACTGCAAGCTGATATGCAATCTTAAGTTCACCAAGCTGAAGAGCAAGCTCAAAGCGGTGTTCTGGGTCTGTAGATACTGCGAGTGCTTGCTGTTTGAAGCCCTGAATATTATAATAATAAAAAAAGACATTAGTGAAGGAATCTTCTTAGCAAACGACAGCAAAAATTGATACACAAATACATCTCCCTTTTTACACAAGCCAAAAAACAACACACCATGATTATTTACCTTGTATTTAAGAGCATTTAAGGGCCTAATAGATATGTCCACCCCTGCCAAATTAAACTTGCAGCCATTTCCAATTCCAGTATTTTAATCTATATTTGTTGACCAAAGATTAATTTGATAGAATGTGCCAAATGTTTTCACCTGCTTCTCAAGGAAGTGTGCAACTCTGGTCCTCTGTTCCTTTGGAATTGTGGGAAGAACTTTGTCAGCCATACTGAAGTCTCTCCTCATCACGGCAGTTTGATACTCTAGCACCGAGACTAGCAAGGAGTAACTCACTATGTTCAGTTCTTTGTCACCAAGGTAAAGTCTGTTGTCTTTGGGGATATATCCAAGTAAATACATTGTCCTTTAAGGAAAGGGGGTGGGATAGAGAGATTGCATTCATTAAAATAACTTCAGTCCGAGAAATCATCTGGCAGAGTGATCCTAATGTGGAGCAACAAACAGCAAAGTGGCAGTTGAACCACCACATCCCAAGCTCCACTGGCTGGGGAAGATGGTGATGGGCTGGTTCTTCAGTATATTTAGTGCATCAGATCCTGGCTGGGGTAGCAGAGAGGCACAAGGACCCAACTGGGATGCTTTGCTTTCCACTGCTGGTAGAACAACAGCTGGCAGCAGCATTCTACTAGCATGGGCAATAGCAATGGTCTTACAACCACCAGCACTCCTGTTGGCCAGAAGAGAGCCATTAACACACCATCCTAACCTGCACTCCCCTAGCCATCAACATCACAGTCCTTAAGATTGCACGCTGAATTATCAGGAAATTATGTAATTCACTTGAATTGGACTGATATGCTAAGGATAGTGAGTCTCTATCAAACTGTGAGTATGCTGAGGTACAGAAACTCCAGATCACTGAGGAGACCCACCCCACCTCAAAGGAATTTCTGAAACTCTTCCATTTCCTTAAGTAGTAACACACTGGAGATAACAGCAGTGACGGATAGGAAGAATTTATGGCTTAGCACCAGTATAGAGAAACTTTGGCCCTCCAGATGTTGCTGAACTACAACTCCTATCATCGCTGGCCATTGACCGTGATTGCCAGGGCTGCTAGGAGTTGTAGTTCAACAATATCTAGAGGGCCACACCTAGCTTAGTATGTGATCTTAAAGTTTAGCCCACACTTGGAAAATTGGCTATTAATAGATAAAAATTTAAGGTTATATTATATTATATTAAGATTAAGGATTGGGATTAAAAAAGAGGGAAAGGAATTGCTGGACAAACAAACTGAATTGGAATACAAAAGAGGGAGGTATGAGGAGGTCCAGAAAATAAGTTAATTCAAAAGCAGTGATGAAAAGATGGAATTGTTTTTAACTGTTTTTTCTTTTTTTTCTTTTTGTATTTTATATTGTGTATTTTTCTTTTTACTTTTAAATTCTTTTTTATTGATGTGTCTTTTTCTATCTGAAACTTTAATAAATATCATTTAAAAAAAAATAATAATAAAGTTTAGCCCACACTTGTCTTAGTGCCATATCTGAAAGACAAAAGAATCTTCAAGAAGCAGGTTACATGGGCAACACAAAAGCTACGCAGTCAGATTTACACTCTAAATAGCTTCTTACTTAAGGACCAAATTTCTGCCCATCACTAGCACAATAATTCTTGCCACAGAACTCTGCTCAATGTGCATTGAACTATCAAAGAAGTAGAACATGCTACACTTAATAGCAATAATTTCATATCTTACTTTGCCAAACCTTTATTAGGCATTACAAACCCTTATTAGGCATTACAAATATAGGCCATCATAAAACCTCCATATAGAAAATTTTAAAATATATGCAAATAAATATATGCAAATGTCATATCAATTAGAACTATACCTGATGAATAGCTGAACACTCACCGGTCCAAATGTGCAATGGTGACGATTTCTCCTCCAACGTAGTAGTTCAGTCTGTTCACAGAACTGGTATAAATAAAACAGTCGCCTACCCACAACCCCGTTTTCACAATCTCTTGAATTTCACCAAGGACCTGGAGAAACAAAGGTGTTTAGGCTTAGGACAATCTTGTTTACTAAACTCTCCATAGGCACTGGGTCCAATAAAAGAGTTTAATTATATAAATGGGTCAACTCCATAGGCTTAGTGATGAAGAGTCCCATATTAAGAGAAGCTCAGCTTAAAATACTGATCCACCAAAAAAACCTCTTCTACTACAACACAGATAAGATTAACAAAAGTTCAAATTCCCTACTTACCACAGTTCCCTTAGTAGTGGGATATGGCACAAGAAGTTCCATGTGCCATATATGTACAAAGTAGCCTAATGATCTTTTAAAATCCAACAGAACAAAGTTCATTCACTAACTTTGTTGTCAACAAAATATTCTGAACCAGGAATGTGACCTTCCAGCTATTTTTGGACTCCAAACTCCCATTAAGTTTAGCCAGCATGGCCAATGGTCAGAATGATAGGGGCTGGAGTCCAACAACATCTGGAGGGCCACAGGATCCCCAGCCCTGCTCTATACAGATCAAGACAGCTGTAAGATTCTTATTTACATGAAGCCTTGTTAACATCTTAATATGGTTCCCTTGCTGCTGATGTTTAGGAGAACAATTAAATTGTTTATTTTTCAATTAGGCTTTAGAGCCCCCATAAGTATTTATGCTGCTATCATGTTATATTGTATTATATTGTCTATTGTATATCATTTTACACTGTTTTTATTTTTATTGTATACCACTTTGATTTCCTTAGAGAAAACAGGATCTAAATGATTTAAAATGACCATGTGTGTCCCAAAGCTAATCTTCCAAGTCAATCTATCTTGTCAATTTCCACATTCTCCTTATATCACATGGCTAGTCTGTTAGTTGACAGCAGTATAAATGGTTTAAAAGACAGAATCAGATCCAAAATGCCTATTAATCATTAAGCGTAGTTACCTCAAAGGCATCTTCAATGCCATCTTCAGTGACTCCCTCATGTGTCTCTTGGGCTGTTGCTACTTTTTCAGAAAGATACTTCAGAATGAAGAAAGATTCTTCAGTGGCTATGCAGACAAGCTCACCAGAGTCAGACCAGAAAATCTATATCAAAACAATGCAATAACCTTTAAGGTTTGGGCTCAGATTAGAAGACAAATTAAGCCTATTGTGGCACCAAAAGACATAGAGCACACTAGTTTTGTTTTAAGACTCCAAAAGTTTCATAATTAACAGCAGCTGACCTAGCAAGGTGAGCTTTAATTAATCAGCAAGTTGCAATTGGAACAAAACTCACATGTTTGGGCTGGATTTCAATTCTGCGTATCAATTCTGTATTTTCCCAGTCGTAAAATGCCAGGCCATTGACAGATCGGACACCCAGCAAGAAACCGCCGTAGATACCTTCAGGGGACACAAGCAGAAGAAATTAGAAGCTTTCTGGACAGTGTTTAAAACTAGCTAAGATGAGTACAGAAGATAAAATGCATAACGTGCCTTCTGCTCCAAAGTCAGGTTTAAAAGACTTCTTCTCTTTGAAGTTTTTAAATATCTTGACACTGCTGTTGCTTTCCCTGATTGCATACCTGCACACAAACAAAAGATTTCAGTAGAACCAAGCTCTTATTCAGCAAGATTAACAAACAAGGCCAGAAGCAGTCAATCCTGGCACACTGGCCATATAGATCCTGCCAATGTTCTCTTGCAGACTTGTATAGACAGGTTATTCCCCTTTTGCCAAAACAGGTGTGAAAGGACGGCTGGAATAAGGCTTAAATTGACTGGATGCAGTCCACAGGCCATGTGTCTTTGCCTCCAACTAAGCCATAAACTGAATTGGGATGCAGCCACTACAAAAACTGTTGGTTTCACTTTTTATATTTCATACTGAATTTTTTTAAAAAACAACAACAGCAGACCAAAGAGCTATGCAAAGACAATTGCTGTTCATAGTCCAAAACAAAGCGTCATAATATTAACAAAAAGTTAAGATTAAACAAAGCACAAAGGACTTACTCTGAAGAATCATGTGCCCATGCAAACTCCTGAGCAGAACCAAAGCTTTTGTTTCTCAGTGCCATAGCTGTGTAAATGATGTATTCACCATCCCCACACACTACTACAAACCTGTAAGGTAGTAAACACAAAAGAAATGTAAATTACAGTATGCAAGGAAGGTTTGCGTAAGACTTGTAAAACTCAGAAAAGCCTGATCAGAAAGATACGCACATACAATGTCTCTGGTCCTAAACAGAATTTAAAATTAATGAACAGGTTTAAGTTTTTATCTTCGGAAAAAGAAATCCCTTACCGCCCATTGGGATTGTGCTGAATAGTCTGAGGATATATTTCACAGCTGCCCATATCTTTCACAGCAAGTGGCAGTCTCTCTCCGTCTTTGATTTCAGCATCCCCCATTGCTTTCAGATTAGCTTGCTGAATTTCTGAATGCTTAGCCCAAATTATCTTGCCATTAGCATCCATTGACATGGCTGGCTCTTCACGGCCAAGCTAGCAAGGAAAGAAGCATGAGAGTAGATGTATACAATAGTCAATGTAACTAATAAACCAATTTGCTTAAAAACCTTTTGATGTTGACAACCAACAGTTTATTCTCCAATGCAGTTACTACAAATAAGACTGGTGTCCTCTGCAATGACCCCAATTATTTAATAATATGCCAAGTAATTATTCCACTAGTGGACATCTAGCACAGTTAAATATTTTCTAAGGCACATACCTTAACAATGATGCTACCTTCATCATATCCCAGAGCCACATTATTTGATCCTCTCAGGCTCGCCACACACCACACCCTTTCCATGCCATAGTTCAGAGTACTTTCCAAACGGTAAGTGCTTGAATGCCAAATCCGAACAGTTCCTATGCAGTGGCAGAGTTATCGCATTCAGCATTACTTAGATACTTCAGGGGGGGGGGGAGGAACCCAACCCCCAATCATGATTATTAATACACTGTTTCATACCCTGTGCAAAACTGGGTTACATAAAGGACAAAGAATAAAACTACAAAATAAAATGCAACAAATATGTAAACTGCACAAATCACCTAAATACATAAAGGAGCAGAATCATAATGAAATAAAAGAACAAAAGCATCATCAAAAACTTTTCTGAAGATTTATGTTTCCATTGTCCACAGAAAGACAAGCAGCTATTGGGCCAGGTGATTCCACATGTGTGGTGCCGTACCTGAAAAAGCTCTCTATCCTGTGCTCCCCTGCAGGAGAACACAGCAGGATAGAACCAGCACTTTGAACTGGACCCAGAAACAAACAGATACTCAATAAAACTTGCACAACTGCCCTCTCCAGGTGTTTGTAACCTGTGTACAATACATTGGGGGGGCACAGGAGCTGTGAGGACGAGAACAATAGATCCACCACCCCTCAGTTTTCTGTTGCCTTCCATGAGTTGGGAGGGGGCATATTCTGGAGTAGGAAGGCTCCCTTGTACCTGTGGAGGCTCCCTGCACGTTTTACAACTGTGTAGATAACCATCACGTGTGCAGGAGGTTCCCTGCTTCAGATAACTGTCCTCCAATTTGTGGAGGGCATCAAAAATGATGAGGGGGCGTGTGGTTCTAGCAGCACCCCCTTTTTCGTTTAAATGACTTACAAATGCCTGAACCTAATTATCATCAGTTACTGCAGTCCCAATTAGAAGTAACTGCTGCATTTTGAACCATCTGTAGCTTCTGTACATTTTTCAAGGCAGTCTAACAAGAAATGCATTAGAGAAGTCCCAGAGGGATGTTGCCATAGCATGAATGACTGTGGCCAGGCTGCCTTCTCCAGTCTTTATATAAAAGATAAGTATTTTCCAATCAGAGTATTAAGCATTTGTTTTTCACTTCTCAGACATTTCTAACTGAAAAGAATTTAAACCTGTGCAATGGAAATATCTCTCATGGAATAATTCTACCTTTCTTGCATTTCATATTTATTTGTAATTATACCCCTTTTAAGCCTCCATGCATATTAAAACTCACGGCCTCTAGGTATATTTCACTTTTGTTTATAATGCTCCTCCAATAAAGGAGCTGTAAATGAAAACAGTTCACAAAGAAACCCATTAACAAGCCTACACTTTGGCTCTGCAACGCATCTATACAAACTATAACAGGACTATTTCTAATTGTCTCAAGTAATTTGTAAGCATCTGAAAGAAAAAAAATGCTCATGTCAAGCTTTGGTGAGATGTTAAGTTCTCACTGCTACAGAAAACCACCATAAGGAAATAAACTGGCACTCTAAAAAGAATTGAGAAATGATTGAATTTACCATCTTCAGAGCCAGTGATGATGATGGGAAGCTCAGGGTGGAAACTAACACAGGACACATTTTGTGCGTGACCCTCAAGAGTTTGCACACATGTTTTATTCTGCAAAGGGAGAAAAGAAATGAAGCTGTGGATACAAAGACTTGATAGCAGTCTTTAACATATGATAAATGTTATAAACCAAAAATTGAATGACAGTTACAAAGTACCTAACTAGACCTTTCTGATGACAACTTTATTACTTATTTGCCACCCGTCTAACTGGGTTGCCCCAGCCACTCTGAGTGGCTTCCAGCAAAATATAATAATCTTCAACGGAATACGGCCAATGAAAAAAATTATTCATATACTTGATTTAAAAAACAAAAAACCATAACATTTTTGCTTTTTCAATATTATGCAAATAAATGGTATAGGAGTAGTAGGACACAACATACCTGATAGTCCCAGATCTTTACAAGGCGGTCATCTGCTCCAGAAATTAGGTACGGCTTATCACCTCCACTGTAGTAATCAATGCAATTTACGCCTTTCTCATGGCCTTCCAAAGTGAAGTTGGGTGATGAAGAACCAAGCTGCCACACCTTGCAAGAATATGAAAATGATTGTTGACCGGGTCTAATGAAACCCAGGAAGCCCTTTTCAAACTTTCACATATCACTATTGGCTAATTTCATGTGTTTAGAACAGAAGACAAAGGGAGCAATATAATTAGAAGCCTTTGTTAAATCCTGGGGCACATTCTGTCCCATCCAAATTCTGTGTGATGACAATAACCCCTGTGATAAGCAGATCAAAAGTTAAACCCAGGGATCACACTATTTTGAGCACAATCTGCACTACAAGTGTATCATGTGCACCAACCTTTGTATTGGATGCATACTGGTGCAGATAAATAAAAAATAATAATCTTCCCAGAGTATTAAAATGACTCAAAATACAGTTTATGCTATATCCTCCAAGCAGCTGTTAAGCACCTACAATATAAGAAGAGCATTTCACTTTAAATTTAAAATTCTGATTTTCCAGTAAGAAATCACTCTACCTTGATTGTTCTGTCCAAGGAGGCACTAGCAAACTGATTATTATCCTTAGGATTTATGACAATCTGCATCACATAATGAGTGTGCCCTTCAAACACTTGAGAACAGGACCATTTTTTATCCCAGTCCCACAGCTTAATAAGCATGTCATCTAGGAGAGAAAAAAAACCTTCCATTATGCACTTCGTAAGCACCAAAGGGAAAGAAAAATAGTGATAACCTAAGACTATTTTTTTTCTTTTGTTTCCCTGAACATCTACCTGAAGAGTTCAATATGGCTGAAAAGCTTATCTTTACAAAATCACTTTTCAAGAGTCTACTCATTCTAGTGATATCAAATTTGCAGTAACCTGTTTAGCAGTCCCACTCTCCTCTTTAATATGAAATATGCCAGCGGGACAGCATCATGCCTAAGTGCCATTGCTCTGACAGCGCTCCCTTCCTCTTTTCCCTAGACATAACCTGGCAGAGGGTGTTTCTCTCTGATCCTACCTGGCCCCCCAAAAAGGTTCACAGCTAAGTCCCCTCCCCCAGCCCCAAACTACTGTTATATTCAGATGTGCCACAGGAAAGCATGCACTGTTTCTCTTTCAGATACTGAGCTGCTGCTGTTTGGTCAAGTTTTATTCTTAATCAAATACTTCTATGACATATTCTTTCTAGAGCACGGATGGGAAATCTGTGGCCCACCAGATGTTGTTGAGGTGCAATTCCCATCATGGCTGACCTTTGGTCATGCTAGCTGGGGTGGTGCGAATTGAAGGCAAGCAAAATGTAGAGGGCCCTAGTTTTGTATCCCCATAATGAGAGTTTTATGTTGCATAGATATGCATCATCATCATCATTATCAGCAGCAGCATACATTTAAATTCTTTGAAGTTTGACTACATCCTACCACAGTGAACTGGATAACTGAATACAGATGCTTGAGAACCATAAATACTTATGTTTTGTAAGAAGAAACTGGGTTTATGTTAAAATGGGACTAGCATATAATGGAAACAAAGATCTGGGGCACTTAAGATATAAAACAACATAAATAGGAAGACTATGAGACAATAAGCCAGCTAATATGGATGTAGTTCTCATCAGGGATGACTAACTTGTGGCCATCCAGATGCTGTAGAACTAGAACTCCCACCAGCCACAACCAGCACGGACAACAGTTGTGCAATTATAACTTGGCAACATCTGGATGGCTAAAGTTTTGCCAACCCTGTTCTATAGCTTCCAGTAGGATTCTGCAGCAATCTTGTTACAAGTTCTGCAGTCGCTAAAATATTTGCTACTTCAAGGAGGTACGCAGCTTATTTTCTTACAAAATCCTAAAGACGCTGCTAAGAAAGAATAACTCATTAAAATAACATTTAGTAATAAAATTAAACTCTTACCACTGCTAGTTAGAATGAAAGGTTGTGTAGGATGCACAGCAATGCAGCGGATATAATCTGAGTGTGCTTCAAACATGTGAACCCTTTCCAAAGTGTTGTAGTTGAAAACCCGAATTTGCATGTCATCCTATGAGAAAAGTCCAATAAAAATCAGCTTCTCTATAAATGAAAACTGAATTTCCACTTCCAAATAAAGGATTGTATCTAATGCTGCCATTCTGCTTGGGCATCAGACTTCTATTTGTGCAATGGAGCTTTCCCTTCTCTCCTCTGTGTCACACCCATGCACTCTCAAAACCTGCTCCAAAGAGTTGGGGGACTCTCTAGAGCAGATTTAGGCGACGTGCAGGGACAGGAGAAGAAAGGGAAGTCCCACTGTGTGAATGGAACACAACTCACAACTTTACTGGTTTTGATCTTGCATTGTTTTTATTAAACTTGTTTCTAAGCTTCCCTCATACAGAAAGATACATTTAAAAAAATAAAAGGTAACGTCTAGCATCACTTTGCATATATTTTAGTGCAGAGATAGGAAAACAACTGGTCCTCCAGTTGTTGCTGAACTACAGTTCTCATCATGCATGACTACTGGTCATCCTGGCTGGGCCTAATGGGAGCTGAAGCCCAACAACATTTGGAAGGCCGCAGGTTCACCACCTCTGCTTTAGTGGACTGTATACCTATATTTTTGCTAATATAGCACCTTATACCACACTGTATCTCTCTTAAAAATCATTAACCATCCTTAGTCCATAAGGTTCCTCTGCAATTAAATTTGCAATTCAGAATTTCTTACCACTTAAATATCCTTCTTTTCAAAAAGCAAACCTCTAATTGATTAGTAGCTTCAAGGTTCCAAAATAAACAACAAAACATTCTTAGTGAAAGAAGATAACTTACGGCTCCTGTAACAACCCAGTTTTTCCTTGCCACAAATTTAGATGCTCTCACTGGTAGGTCACATACTTCAAAAGTCTTCACTAATGTCTGAAAACAAAGTTTACATTTTATGTTAACTTTTATGCATGAAAAAACGCTTTTTAGAAATCTCTTTAGCTATTTCAGATAGCTGTTTTTCAACTGTCGGAACACGATGGACAATATTCTAGAAACATAAATAAATTACAAAAGTTACAAAAATAAGTTGCTAAATGTTTCAAACACTTCATAAATGTAATATTCTTAGGAAAATAAATACACCACACAGTTCAATGCCCTTGAGTGGGGGGAAGGGTCTTAATGTGATACCACAATCCCAATCAAATCCAGAGGACCCTGTGACTTCATAAAACACAAGCAGTCCTGATCACAAATCTCCCCAATCACATTTAATTGGGCCCCAATATCAATAATCATTTTACGACTTTTCACTGAACATATTTTATATCACACATTACCTGTGTTTCATGGTTCCAAACACAAACGCTACCATTGTAAAGGCTAGCCAACATCCATGGCTCTGTGGGATGCAAGTCCACACTCTTCACTCGATCAGATCGAGCTGTTAGCTTACGCTTTATGTCAAGTCGAAGAGGCTAAATAGCAGAAGAATATAATGAGGCTGTTACAAACACATACAATAACTGGTTAAATATATTTATACTGAAAGAAATTTGGACAGGACCTAAACAGCCAGTCATATTTACATAAGTGGTTCACACTAGCCTGACTGCAATAAACATGTTCATTCATTCATTCATTCCCTTACAGACTGTTCTCTGGAATGGCCCAAAGATTTAATTTACCCAGGCCATGCTAAAATCAGCAACAGCTGTCAGCTTATTAATACATTATTGTGAAAAATAACACACATTCATCATATATCTAGTCCTAGGCTAAGAATTTTGACAATGTGAGAGGATTTCAGATATGAAAGAACAGTTTGGGATGAAATTATACTGCTACAATATTCACAAAAAGTGACACAGATAAAAGAGCATGTTCATGCCCTTTGCGCACAGCCCTTTTTTGGGCAAGTGTAATAGTAGTACTAGGTAGGATTTTTTAAAAAAACAACTGATGCCCCATTAGTATATATACAAACATCCAGGAAAACTCACAGGTCACTCATAAAGCACACAGCATGAATTTGACTCCAGGCTCTTCCAGTTAAAAGCATATAAATCAGGCGTAAGCAAACTTGGCCCTCCAGATGTTTTGGGACTACAACTCCCATCATCCCTAGTTAACAGCACCAGTGGTCAGAGATGGTGGGAATTGTAGTCTCAAAACATCTGGAGAGCCGAGTTTCCCTCTGCCAGATATTACGGTAATCAACAGAATCCTAAGAAGATGCTGCTAGTAAAAGTTGGCAGTACTGGGCTAAATGGACCACACATCTGTCTCTATAACTGGCATTTTTATTATACTGCTTCGATCAAATCTCACACCCTCTTGGATGCATCTAAGCTAATCTATTTATACAATTCATAAAACCCAGAAATGTGCACTTTCACCCTCCATTTGTTTTCACCTCCAACTTCCACGAGCCCCAGCCAGCAAGGCTGACGGGATGATGGGAGTTGCAGCAGAACATCTGGAGGGCCACGGATTGGGAAAGACTGTTGTAGACAATGCACTTCCATTTCAGCAGGCATGAAACGGGACACTACATACAGGAAGCAACTGTGCCAATACCCTAACCACATGCCTGGCCATCGGCCTACTATCCATACCGCAGAGCCCTCAGTTTAAGATATGTACACAGGATACATAAGAGTGTGAATTACAGTGGTACCTTGGGTTACATACGCTTCAGGTTACAGACTCCGCTAACCCAGAAATATTACCTCGGGTTAAGAACTTTGCTTCAGGATGGGAACACAAATCGCACAGCGGCGGTACAGTGGGAGGGAGGCCCCATTAGCTAAAGTGGTGCTTCAGGTTAAGAACAGTTTCAGGTTAAGAATAGACCTCCAGAACAAATTAAGTTCTTAACCTGAGGTAAAGGTAAAGGTACCCCTGCCCGTACGGGCCAGTCTTGACAGACTCTAGGGTTGTGCGCTCATCTCACTCTAGAGGCCGGGAGCCAGCGCTGTCCGCAGACACTTCGGGGTCATGTGGCCAGCGTGACGAAGCTGCTCTGGCGAACCGGCACCAGAGCAGCACACGGAACGCCGTTTACCTTCCCGCTATAAAGCGGCACCTATTTATCTACTTGCACTTAAGGGTGCTTTCGAACTGCTAGGTGGGCAGGAGCTGGGACCGAACGACGGGAGCTCACCCTGCTGCGGGGATTCGAACCGCCGACCATGCAATCGGCAAGTCCTAGGCGCTGAGGTTTTACCCACAGCGCCACCTGCGTCCCTTAACCTGAGGTACCACTGTACTTAATTCGTTCTGGAGGTCCGTTCCTAACCTGAAACTCTTCTTAACCTGGGGTACCACTTTAGCTAATGGGGCCTCCCGCCCCCATGCGATTTCAGTTCTTAACCCGAGGTACTATTTCTGGGTTAGCGGAGTCTGTAACCTGAAGCGTATGTAACCCAAGGTACTACTGTACAGCAATGCTTGCAGGCAGTGCTTTTTTCTGGGGGGACGCAGGGGTACGTATACCCCTAAACATTTTGTGAATCAAAGTTTGGCCTCATTGAGGGGCAGTATTTCAATATGTGTAGGAAAATGAGAGTACCCCTAAACATTTTTTTTTAGAAGCAGCAGCAGCACTGGTTGTCGCCTTTCACACATCTTCAGATGAGAACAGGCTGACAGCTGGTAAGTGGTGGCCAGCAAATGCTTTCATCAACCATCACTCGGACCCCACCCCCAATAGCTCTTCCATCACCACCAGTCCAGACGCTACTTGTGAATATAAGCAGCACTGGAACAAAGGGAGCCTACACACAACCATGGGCTCCAAAGAGGAGCTGGCTGTGAGCTTTGCGCTGCACAACACCAAAGATGCAAACAGTTTGATAGAGGTAAATCCGCTAAGAGCTTCAGGAGAGGCAGCAATAGCACAGGTACCGCCTTCCCCACCCCCCACCCCATAATCAAAGCAGGCAGAAATCAGCAGATGAGCCGTCTCCTGTCAAGGCGCCTCCATGCCGGGAAACACTTCACCTGCCGGATTTCTGCCTGCTGTGCGGCTTAAAAAGACGGGGAATCCTTGGCCCCGCCGGGCAGGCCTCTCTCTCCCCGGTTCCAGCAGCGCCTGCTCCTCCCCACCCACCAAGCCCACTTCCCTGGCAGAAACAGGCGGCCTCCTGCCTTCGGGCCCCACTGCCGTAGCCCCCTCCTCGCCCAGCTCACCATGGCTCTGGGTCGCGCAGTCCGGGCTGCGGCCACCAACGCTCGCCGTCTCCCTCACAGCCCAATTCACCGACGTGGAGCTTCCGGCTGCGGCGGTTCCCGCGAGAAGCGGGGAAACATCGCGAGAGCACGAGCCCTTCCGCCTAGTCGCCTCTATCTCGGCCAATGGGTGGAGCGGAAGGGAATGTTCGTAGAGGTAGCCAAAAAGTGTAGAGTGACCGCATATGGATTGCTCTGTTAAGGGGAGCCTCGCTGAATTTAACGAAGTAGCAAGTGGGATAGCTCAGTTGGTAGAGCATGAGGCTCTTTTTCTCAGGGTTGTGGGTTTGAGTCCAACTTTAAGTGAAAGAGTCCTGCATTGCAGGGGTTGGACTAGATGATCCTCGTGGTCCCTACAGAAATATACTCGGAGTCGAGTGTGGATTTCATGCTCTTTATTCAGCTCATAGGTAAAGGTAAAGGGACCCCTGACCATTAGGTCCAGTCGTGACCGACTCTGGGAGCCGGCGTACAGCTTCCGGGTCATGTGGCCAGCATGACTAAGCCGCTTCTGGAGAATCAGAGCAGCGCACAGAAACACCATTTGCCTTCCTGCTGGAGCGGTACCTATTTATCTACTTGCAATTTGACGTGCCTTTGAACTGTTTGGTGGGTAGGAGCAGGGACCGAGCAACAGGAGCTCACCCCGTCGTGGAGATTCGAACTGCCGACCTTCTGATCATCAAGTCCTAGGCTCTGGTTTAACCCACAGCGCCACCCGCATCCCACATTCAGCTCATAGTTCCCCCAAAATATCTGCTTTCTATACACTATTTATACAATGGGCCGCACGTGGTTGGCTAATTCCGGGATTCTCCTGCAGGCCAAACAGGTTGCGGATTCACTTCCACCTGGAGCTGGATTGGGTGGCTCCTGTGGACCAATCATACTGTTCCATTGTTCTAGGACCAATCAGACTGCTGCATTCTGAATCCTATTGTTCTAGAACCAATCAGACTGCTGCATTTTGGATCTTGTTCAACTCAGTACATAACACCTACCAACTCTAGAATTCTGCGATTCTATCTGCAAGTGTTGCTTCGTTTCCCTCCCTCTACCTACTTGCCTCAGAATACTCCAGCTGACCTCAATACCACTAAGAAACGCAAAATAAGCAATACATGTTTCACTCAGGTGGAAACAATGATGTATACTCGGGTAATAAAGGGATCTGGAACAGGGGCATGAAACAAGGTCACACACACATAACCCAGTCCTATGTAACCATCAATTTAGCAGACATTATCGAAACCCATCTAGACAATAGGCTTTTTGGACCCAAATGTTGGAACACAGAAGTCTGCACCCACATGGCAGGGATCCATCTGTAAATTGTACACCATTGATCCCATTTAGAAAAGACTCAGCTCTTCATTTAGATATCACTGCTCCACAGTCATCCATAAGAGCCGTGAACAGATAAGGAACACTCAAACCCTGCATGCTAGATAGCAGCATAAAAAAACCATCCCTTCCTCCAAATGTCTTTTCAGAACCTACTGAAGTCCTTCCTTTTTAACAAGTCTTTTAGGTGAGGTTTTTTTATTCCATGCTGAATCTGTATTGGATTTGAAACAATTTTAAAAATATCAGATTGTTTTGTTTTTGTAAATCTAATTGTTTTATATTTGTTTCCATTGTGGATGTTTTTATTTTGTTAATTTGCTTTGAGGTCTTCTACAGGAAGCAATTCATAAATGGAAATAAATGACTAAATAGACCAGGGAGAAGAGTCGGTGGAAGAAGATTGGAAGAAATTTAAAGACTACTTATAGAAATATTGTAAAATTAATGAATGTTAGAATGATGACGGATTGAAGTTAAGCGGTTTCTAGCAGTAATGGTTAAAAGAATTGGAAAAATTGGTTTTTAATAGGTAAAAATTTAATGTTATAATATATTAAGATTAAAGATCAGGATTAAAAAGGAGGGAAAGGAATTGCTGGACTAACAAACTGAATTGGAATACAAAAGAGGGAGGTATGAGGAGGTCCGGGAAACAAGTAAACGTAAAAGAAGTGATGAAAAGATGGAATTGTTTTTAACTGTTTTTTCTTTTTTCTTTTTGTATTTTTGTATTGTGTATTTTTCGTTTTATTGTTAATTTTCTTATTAATGTGATCCTTTTCTTGTGAAATTTTAATAAATATCATTTTTTAAAAAAAACCTAAATGAATGAATAATAATGAACTTAAGCAGTGAGTGCCAACTGCCAACACAAAATGAGCCACCAACACACACACACACAGCCTGATAAAGACTGAGCATACTCAGTCACTACAGAATGGTGAATGTCCGTTGGAAAATGAAAACAGAAAACTGCAGGTAGGAGGGAGAATGGCCTGTTGGAGGAAGGCATAGCAAACTGATCGGAGCTCTGAACAAAAGCACTGTTTTTGGTTTTGTTGTTATTCCACTTGATTACAATAGCCTCTAAGCAGTGTATGAACAATACAATGAAAATAAAAACCAGTTAAAACTATAAAATATTCCATTGAGAATAATATTGTTATGAGCTGAGGGGGTAGGCTGTATGCCTGAGCCCCCTTCTAATTCCTGGATTCAATTCTTGAAACATCCAGGCTAGCATCCTGGTGAGGTAACGGCCCTCTGAGTATGGTCCATTAAGGTAACAAAGGAACTGGCTCTGTGCCAGACAAAAGTGGGTGGGCCCCACTCTCTCAACTCGCTGGTAATTAGAAAAATAAAAGACATAGTTGAGAGTTGAGGCGTATGTGAGCTAGAAGGTAGAAGCAAGGCTGCAGGCTGGGCAGCTGGGAGACAGAACTATGCCTGATTTCTGCTGGAATCCAAGGCTGTGGCTATGGGGGAAGCAAGACCCTCTTGGGCTGTTAATGCTGTGAACCCCTCCATCATAGGCTCAGGTTGTATATATCATTCAATATAACCATATATCATTCTGAGAAAACCAAACCCTGGGTAACCGCCTGGAGTCTCTGGAATCTCACACCGCTAGGAGATTGGGGAGGCGTGCAGCAATATAAAGTAACATTTTTTGCAGGGCCCTCTTGTCACACCTTAATATGGAATCTAAGAACAGCAGCCAAGATTCTAATCGTTATTCCCTCTGATGATCCCAACATCCATGCTTCTATCGGTTTAGAAGCAAAACGGGGCTACCTCAAAAATTAATTTAGTAGTTTCTGCATACACATGACATGGCCCAGGTACAGAGACACATATAAGTTTTTTTTAACTAGAAGAACAACTTATTTATATGTTTGTTTGTTTGTTTTTAAAGCCTAATTGCTTTAAAGTTGGAGTTTAACAACATCTAAAGGACTACAGGTTCCCTATTCCCAATTTAGCAGATTTTAAGTAGGTCCATGCTGGAAGCTTTTGAAGTGGCTTGTGGTAAAGGTGTGTGGTGCGGGCTCTTAGAATATTCAGGCTGTACGCATAAACAGTTCTTTTTTATTTGTCCTTTCTGCCACCGGCACAATAATTAATCATTTTCAGGTACATCACATGTATTTGCCATGCCAACTTCACTTGCACACGTTTTAACTATCTGATGCAAATGCCTTCTTCATTTTGCAGGGCTATTTAGTTATTGGTCTCCATGTCGTGACTTACAACTAGTTGGCTAATTGGGATGTTTAGTTCAATGGCATATGTCCTTCAAGAGGCCTGAGCTGAAAGGATATTAATCCACTTCATTAACCCTTATTGAACAGATGGTAACCACTCTCAGATCATCCGAAATCCGTGCTGAATTTAAGCTAGTGATCTAGATGTGACAGGTTGTGTATTGCATTACCCATCTGCTAGGCTATCCCACTGCTTGGCTGAACCTACGAACCAAGCACCCAGGAAACAATAAAATCTAGAATTGCTAGATGCATTGTATTATTTCTGCACAAAAGAATAATTAGTTTATCACTGATGTACTTTCCTGAGTCGGTTCCTGCTGTCTGTCCTTAACGACATCCGATGATTAGCATTTGGACTTTGAACATGGAAGGTGGTGGAATATAGCGTGGAGAATGTGTTACAGCAAGATAGCCATTATCATTTGCCAAAGGGCAACATGGCAGCTTGTGGAACAGCAGGGAATTAAAGAAAGCAAACACCATAGAAAAACAATCAGTGTTTCTAACAGGTTGCTTTGTATCTGCTTAAAGTTTTAGATTTACTCCTGAAAACACATTTTTACATAGCAAGCTGCCTTATATTGAGTGAAGCTGTTAGTCTACTTAGACCTGTACCGTCAGTCAAACACCAAGTTTTCAAATTTTCCCCGCTCCAGAGCTGGCAGCAACTGAAACTTGACCTTCTGCATGTAAAATAGTGCTTTACCAATGACACATGACCCCTTTCCTTGCAGACTTTATTGCACATGTGATCTTCCTGCCAGCTCAGATACTAGCCTTGTTCCCTACAACCAAACAAGGGGATATGTGGAGTCACTTTTGGTCACTTTTGCAGAGTCTATGTACATACTCTAGAGATGCATGTAAGTGCTCTTTGTGTGATCAGGGACTCTGCAATCTTGGTCCAACAATTCCACACGTACACACACATTCAGTAGCCTCTGATCATGTTTCTAAGGGCTGTTATGAAAGGACTTGTCAAATGAGATTGCTACAGACTTCTAAAATCACTACCAAAACAGGCAGCCCAGCAGTCTATGGGACCATTACAAAATAAACAGTTTTCTTTTGAATACACTAGATGAAATCACAATGAACACAGCAACGCTATCCTAGAAATACTTCAATAACTTGCTTGGGGACTGTAACATACACTTCCGTCAAAATCACTGCCAACCAACTGAGCCGCTGCATCAATATGAGTTTTGGTTATTAAAAAATAAAAGAGCACTTTATTTTATCTGTAATCAAGCACTATATGCTTCAAGTTGCAGTAATTAGATTTTGACACTTGAATTGAGTTTTAGAAAGTATAAAAATGAAAAATGCTATGAAACCGCTCTGTAATGGTAGGGCTTTGCATATTCTATTATTAACCAACTTACTGTGATTTAGGAGGTGCAATGAAGCAACAAGCAAATTGGAAACAGCTTGGAAGAGCAGGCTTTAAAAAAGCTAGAAGGCAATAGCAACTGCGCTATAGTGACAGCCTGTGTACCACTTCCTGCAGGGCTTGCCCAAGTTTCTTCGCTTGCATATAAGTAACAGTAGTTCCAAAATTGCTGCTATTTAGAAAGAGAATTTGGAATAGATCAGAAAACAACAATGGCCATCTGGATAGAATAATATGCTAACACCTTGACCCTAAAAAGGAGATACTGTACAGGACAATGCCTTTTCATTTCAATGAAG